CAAGAACGGATGGCCCTGGTGAGGACTGAGGGACCCAGGCTCTGGGTGAAGGGGCAGTGGTGAGTCTCACAACTCAGACCCAAGCCTGCTCCCCACTCCCCAATGCTGTGTGAACTCATACCAAGCACTTAGTAACCATTATGACTCAGTTTCCCTACCCACAAATGGAAAGTGTGGTTTACCTGATGCTGTGAGAATTAATTGTTCTAACACAAGTGAAATGTCTGGGAAGATGACCGGCTAACGGGAGGAGTATGTCAAATGTTGGTGACACTGAATAAAGAACCTGACTGTGTGGAATGAGGGAGAAGCCAGATGTCACGAAGCACACAGAGAGACAGCACGGGAAGGCCATGAGGAGTCAGGAGCTCTGAGTTCTAATCCTGAGTCTGTTTCCCCAGCTGCCTCCATCCCTGGGCTCCATTCTCTCCTTGGTTTGAAGTGAAAAGGCACAGTTGCACTGCAAAGACTCTATGAGGCACATCCAACCTGCTGTCTGAGGACCACATACAGCCACACACAGCAGGAACCGCTACAGATGCAGCTCAGCACAGAACTGTACACGTACTTAAAACGTCACGTGACTGTAAAGAGACCCTTTTGGTAACTGGATCACACAGTTCTTGAGTGTGAAGTTTGTAGGTGGCAACAAGATGTTGTAATGTCAAAGAGTCACGCCTGTAAGGTTTCTATTTCCCATGTGCCTCAACACAGAATACGCATGTTGAAATGAAGGGCCGTCAGTCCCCGTTCTGGTACAGATGTGCAAATGAGACCAAGTCACTTAAAACACATGAGCTCATACACTGGACCATGTTCTGCAGATGAAAGCAAGTCTCAGAGGCTGAGTACAGCAAGGTGGTCCTGGCACCCTGGGGAGAGGTGAGATTCCCAGTGACCCTCCCACCGGGGCCCACTGGATGCAGTTCCCAATGTCTGACAGCAGAGAGCGAATGTGCCCTACTCAGAGCAGAACAGACCCCGCCCCTCCCATCTGGGTGCCCCCTGGACCATTCAGAAATCTCGATTCTAATGCACACATTTAATGTCCTGGGACACTGGCATGCTTCTTTCCCTCTCCCTGAGAGGACAGGACAGAACTGGCTACCCCAGTGGAGGCACACCTACCCTCACCCTATGCAAGAACTTTGCTCGGCCCCTCTCCAGGCCTTTGATGGAGCAACCTGCGTGTCCTCCCTTTCCCGATGCTTGTTCCTCCTGTGCCAGGCTGGCCTCATCCTGCCACAGCTTCCTCATTCCCTGTCCTACTCTAGCTCCCACCCATTGCCCCCATCATCCCTTGTTCCTGACTCAGGCTCATACTGAAGACCATCCGTGTCGGCCTTCCTCCCTCCTATCCACCTTCTGCAGTCTTCTACTGCTCTCTGTTACAGGAACAACACGTCCTTCCCTTATCTGCCACTAAAGTGGCCACCTCTGCTCACCAAGGTCAGAGGCAGTACTACCTTGTGGGAAAGGATGCATGTTTGAAATAGACATAGATTATATACCCTGTTCCAAATGCATGAGCTCTGACAGGCACTTTGACCCCCATGAACTTAGTGCACTGCAGGATGCTGACGGTACTTGTCCAGCTCTCCTCTGTTCACTGGTCAGAATTCAGAAAGGGACGTATGAAATGACCTGGTCCTATAGACTACCACCCTGGCTATATACCGCCGCCAACACCCAGCTCAAATGCTTTCCCTCTGTGGAGACTCTCCCGTTACCCTCCTTTTGACCTCCTGAAAGTGGTTGCCCCTTGGAATCCAGGGGTCCCCACCTTGTCCTCTACCTACACACATAGGCTCTCTCCTCTGTCACTTTGTATGTCTGACCTTCCCCACTAGGCTGATAACTCTTAAGGTCAGCATCCTCACTAGATTTGTCTCATGACCCCGTAGGACCTGGTATGCTATGTAATGCTCAGTGAAAAGACACATTCATGGCACTGACTCCAAAGCAACATTCGACAGTCAACCCAGTAGAACACAGAGACCACTGTGTTCTGTGCACGTTCTGTGGCCTTAGGATGTAAAGATGAATGAAACATATTCTGTTTCCAGGAGGCTCATTTCCACATGATCATGCTGTCATGTTCACTTTGAAAGGGATGCTATGCTCTCATTCTGTGGTCTGAGGAGGAGCTCAGGCTCCATGGGAAAGACGGGGATCTTGGGAACTGAGAATTGTACCTTCTGACCAGGTACCTTCAGGTCAATGATGCCCCTCCCAAGGAACTCTGCCAAGGGACTGCCTCTTCCCCCAGATTCTAAGAGTAACGCAACCTAGAGATCGTTGCAGGATGAACTCTGGGAATTGTTCGGACCTTGATGCCCTGGATTCAAGTTTCTGGATAGCTGTCTCATAAAAGTTGACCCAAGGACCCAAGGGACATGCTTCAGGAGGCACACACAGGAAGAGATTCTTGTCCCAGTGAGACCCAGTAGACAGGGCTGCCAGTTCTCCAGAACAATGCTTGTGGGAGGTGACTGACTGTCAAGGTGAAGATCTAAGAAAGATACCTTGAATGATGGGGTAGATCTTAGTTTCAGTTCTAACAAACCCAAATTCCCTCAAGTGTCTAGGGAGCCAAGTCCTGTGTTTTCTCTCACGATTCATTTGACCCCCACAGCCTCTTCCTGAGACTGTATTATTCCTAGTGAATAAATAAGGGTTTGGGTTCAAGGAGTTGAAACCTCATCTAAGAGCTCAGAACTCATAGCTTTTCCCAGAGGCACAGCCTGGGTCCTCTGACCCCAAAGCTGGCACAATCCACATTTCGCTTTCACAATCCACTTTGAGCTGAGCTCACTCGAGTTTCTGCCAGAGCAGGACACCTGCAGAGTCGCAGAAGCTCAGTGCACTCAGCAACTCACAATTGTCTAGACATGTCCTTCCAGGCAGTGGCAGGGTGCATAGCATGCAGTCTCTCATCCCTTTAGTGAGTGGGCTTCTCTCTGCACAATGATAGGCTCATCTCACTGTTTGCCAACCATCCCATACCCAGTGGGCCGTGGAAAGTCCCCTCTGATTCTCTGTCCATCAACTGCAGGGACCTCCTGAGACCCACAGAGACTTTATCTGCCTGGTTGAATCATCAACTCTCAAGGGAGCTCTGTCTCCCTGTTACAGGGAACACATGCCTCGTGCTCTTGGTGAACAACATAGTGATAGGGAGGAGGCGGCTCTCTCAGCTGTGATGGGGCCCAACAACTAGATCGAGACTTTATCTGCCTGGTTGAATCATCAACTCTCAAGGGAGCTCTGTCTCCGTTACAGGGAACACACGCCTCGTGCTCTTGGTGAACAACACAGTGATAGGGAGGAGGCGGCTCTCTCGGCTGTGATGGGGCCCAACAACTAGATTGACCTGTCTCAGGGGAAAATGGAGACCTCCAGAAATCAGAGAAGTTCCTAAAACAGAAGGATTTTAAACAATCATCAAATAAAGGAACTGGAAAAAGGCTTAATGCAGCGTAGGTGACCAGGTCTGTTCAATGGTGAGGGAAGTGGAGGTTCAGAGAAGAGCCCAGCTGGTCCCACGCCACCCTGCATGGCAACCAGGGAGGTCGAAACCAAAGTACGCTTATTTGTGGATGATATGATTTTATATATAAAAGACCCTAAAGACTCCATCAGAAAACTCCTACAGCTGATAAATACATTCAGTAAAGTGGCAGGTCACAAAACTAGCACATAAAAGTCAGTAGTCTTCCTATATACCAAAGACAAACGGACTGAGAGGAAATCGGGGGAACAATCCCATTCATAAAAGCCTCCAAAAAACAAACCTTAACTAAGGAAAAGAAAAATTGTACAAAGAAAACAAGAAAAAATTGAACAGACACCAGAAGATAGACCTTCCGTGGTCATGGATGGGTAGGATTAACCTTGTGAATGGCAAAACTACCAAAAGCAATCTGTAGATTCAATGCACCCAATAGAACAGCACTGCACAGTCATTTCAAACAAGGACTAAAAGCCGTAGAGGAGGCTGGAAAAATACAACCTGAGAATGACAGTCAGACAGAGGTCAAGTACATGTATAGCCGTGTGAAGAGAACCAGGCACATATAAACAAGCCCTGGAAGGATAAGCCAGCAGCTTGGCTATAATTGAACCAGGATGTGTAAAATTGAAAACTAATTTTTACTATGCTCCAAATGTAATGAGACAAAACTAAGTTACTTAATAAAGAGAAAATTCCTCACAGGGCTAGAGAAATACATGCTTTACAAAGGGGTACGGCCTGACAGGGTGTCTGGGACCTGACTGCGGGGAAGAAGAGAGTCCCTGCTCTCAGAAGCCCTCGTCCAAGTTTTGAGATGCTCAAACACAGGCTTGGGAAGAGAGGGCTGTGAGCTCATCCCCAGCCACTGTGTGAGGAGGTAAAGGATGAGGTTTGCAGCCCTTGGTGTCCAGGAGAGCTCTGAGCAGACACGACATTACACAGATGGAAAGGTCGAATCTGGGTATTTACCACTGCTACCCAGGGCATGTTATAAAAGACCATCCTGAGTCCCCCTGGATGTGTTGGCCACCAGTGATCTGTGCTGGCATGAACCTAGATCTGGTCACCGCACATCATGAATGAGGCAGCCTGGTCAACACTGTTCCCAGGTATACAGCTAACCTTCCCTTTCCATTAAGTTGAGGAATGGAAGGGAGAAGTAATGTAGATTGCTAGATAAGATGTGAGTCCCTGGCTGGTGACCAGGCCTTCTGAGCTCCAATACAGGGCTCTAGTCTCACCTCTCTGGTCTGGAAAAGCTAACCTCTGATTGGGTAAGAGGCCTGCAGGTCTGTACGTAGTACAAAGCTTCAGGATTTGTATGTACTCTATTTTCTGGGCAGGAAATGAGCTAGCACACTGTCTGCACGCCTGCCACACACATGTACACACATAAACATACACACTGGCACAGAGCGACCAACCCCCCGCATTCTCCTCTTTTTTACATCAGTGGTATTCATTGGCCAGTAGAGATTATAAATACCTTTTCGCCTCGAGTTCCCCTTTCACCTCGTTCTCCTTGGAGACCCTGGGGACAAAAAGGGGAATGATAAACTCTGCAACATGCCCCTCTGTGCATACTCTCTGGAGACCCCAGAGAGAATGCCTGGCAGCTTGCCCCCAGATGCAGCGGATGGCAGTGGGGAAGACCCCATCTCACTGTGTTATCTGTCACCACCAGAAGCCTGAGCACCTCCCTCAGCCTGGGTCCTGAGCCCAGCCATTTCCAGGTAGAGCTGTGCTCCAGGGACTGTGCTCCTGGCCTGGGCTAACCAGATCTTCACAGCTAGGAATGGGGACACATCTGAACTCACCTGGCCAAGATAAGACCTGTGGCTTTGACAACAGTCTCACAGGTAGGAGCCCACTGTTCTGTCATGATCACAGATTCTAGGCAGGGGCTCCCACCTGTACCCTGGGGTGCTAGTCTCCTTTAATAGGCTTTGCTCTACCTACTCCAGCAAGAAGGTTGCTCCCTGTCCCGTTGCTCACCCACCTCCTTCTAGAGCATCACCCAGACTCTGTGATGTGATCCCCATGTGGTCCCTCCCTCTCCTTTTCCTTCTCAGACAGTCTGAGGAAAATGTGTTAAACATCGTAGATCCTTCCCAGACCTGATACTGTTCCTAGGAATGACGCACACATCTTTGACCTACACAAAAGCATAAGGGTCAAAGTCATGAGATGCAGGGCCTCCAGAGTGATGGACACTGCTGTCTAACCACTGTGCTCATGAGACCAGAGGCCTTGAAGGACCACAAGGCAGTGCAGCTATTATGTTTGAAGATGGTTTTCCACACTACTATTTTCATTTACATATAATCTCACATCTCACGTCTCTCTAAGCCTCTTGTTGAGAAGCAACAATAGGTTTAATGCCCAAGAAGTATGCCCATTATTTGTTATGCCTACATGTTATTCACATCTTTAACACTACTATTTTCATTTACATATAATCTCACATCTCACGTCTCTCTAAGCCTGTTGTTGAGAAGCAACAATAGGTTTAATGCCCAAGAAGTATACCCATTATTTGTCATGCCTACATGTTATTCACCTCTTTATCCACAGGATGCTCTGAACCCCTAGCCAAGTTCTGCTATGCTTTGAGGCTGGAGACGCACTAGACTCTGTATCCCTTCTGGGAGTGGAGGACTGGGGAGCTGGATAAAAATGGTTTATACACACTAAGTGTCATATAATCCCAGGCACTACTCTGTCCCCAGGAATATGCATTTAAACTTGTTCTCCTGGTGACTTGAATAGCATTTTAGAATGTCTGGTCTAAGAGAAGAGAGGCTAACATTTCCTTAGCCTCTGACCAGTAGATCCTCACTATAGAGAAAGAACGATTAGAGATCTAGCTTCTGATCCCTGCAGAGAGGGACAGAGCCACCTCCCAGACATGTGTCTTGACTTACTGGAGGTCCAACATGTCCAGTGGGTCCTGGAAGTCCAGGTGGTCCCTGGAGCCCCTGCAGAAGAAAGTGCACAAAAATAGGTATGGGATGGAATGACAGACAGTCAGCTACCATTTGTTAGAAATATCCAGGTTCCTTATCCTACCTACCCATACCACCTGCACAGGGGGTCCCCATTAGACACCCCTGACCTGAGCTCTGGCTCCTCACCTATGAGAGCTGACAGCATAAGATGCCTGGGATAGGCATAATCACTACCAGACACACTAGACTTCAATGACAGGATGACGCCATGGGCATTTGAGCAATGGTGGACCCAAATCTAACAGTCCCACTCTAACTTGCCCCCTCGGTCTTCTCCAGATCTGACGCAGACATATTGACAGCTTCTGTGCAATCTGATTACAATGGTGCTTATTTTCAATTTGCTGCATGATCTGTGCAGTCGGTATGAGTCCTGACAATGTGTCTCACAGAATTCTGTAGTGCCTGGAGGCTGCCCTGCTATCCGGACCATAGACTTCAATAACCACTGGCAATAAACTTGGAAATACCTATTAGAAATCCACTAGAGAAGATGTGTTTCTTAAGTTATACTACTGTGATAAGAATGACATCCACACAGACATGTGTAAGATTTGCTGCTTCATTGATTTTGGTGGAAAACAAATCAAAACTGAAAGGATGCTCAGGGCTCTAAGTAGGAGAAACATTAGATAAACTGCAGTGCATCAATATTACTGACTCCAGTGCACCAACTGACGAGAACAAGCTTTGTCTGTATTAGTGTGGAAAACATTGTGTCTCTATTGTTGAAGGAGAAAGATTAATTCTTTCAGGTGCATGACCCATTTTTGTGAGAAATTAGCAGGAATTCTCTATATGCAGGCAAGTACAAAGAGGCAAGGGTCCATCGAGTATTTAGAGTATTTAGTCTATACCCAAAGAAACTATTTCTGTGCCAAGCCCTGTCTGTCCAGCAAGGATATGAGCAGAATACATGTTGGCAACACTTACCCGTATGCCCACCTCTCCAGGCAGCCCTGGCTCTCCAAGCTCTCCCGGCTCCCCCTGCGCAAAGTCATAATCACAGTCAGCAGGACACATAGTCGCAGTCAGCAGGACACAGGCCCAGGCACAGTAGAGTGGCCCAAGTCTCCCTGGAGTGTGCATTCCCCACAGCTCAGAACTCATCAGAAATGAGGTGACCACCAGCAATGAGCCACCCAGCCCTCTCGGATACTCTTTCTGCCAGCCAAATCCTACTATTGAAAGGTAACAGAATTAAATCCCAGCAGAGCAGACACAATACTCTAACCAGACTTCAGACCTCTAATGCTGGCCCTTTCTTTTCTTTTTGAATATCATTCTTTGTCTGGGGTCCTAGAACATGTTCCAGCCCAGGGGCAGATGGGTGAAGAGATGGAATCTGGGGTAAGAAAGGGCAGGCCATGCAGGCGGATGGGTACTAGCTGGGTCCATGGTGGCTCCTTTAGCTATGAGCTGGGAATTGGGGCAAATTCCTTTCTGAAGGCTGCCGATCCTCAGCTGAGGCATCAGAGACAATTTCCCCTTGTAGAACTGCTTATCAACCAAGTGAACAAACAGCTTCCAAGGGTACACATGCCATCTACATGGAAACAGCTGCTGCTAATGTTATAATTACATTGAGAAACTCTCCCATTGAGAACAATGGGTGCAAACCGGCCTGCTCAGGTGCGGCCCCAACAACAGCCAGCCACGGAGCCCCTGGCCCAGTGTGGCCTTGGATGGGGAACACAGAACTTACTCTCATGCCTTTACTGCCATCTCTTCCGGGGAGCCCAGGTGGACCCAGGGAACCCTGGACGGAGAGAAAGAGAACACCAGTTAATAGAGGATAAAGACAGAGATGGGACCAGCGAGCCTCAGGCAGGAAGAAGTGAGATGGGCACAGCAAACAAGTTCCTTCACCCCAGGTCTTCCTGCAGCCTTAAATATGCTCTGTTGACCACAGTTCTCCGCCTGGCCTTTGCCTGTAGAACTTTTCATGGGCATGTGAAGGGACCCAGGGCAGGTAGAGAGATGGACAGCAGCTCCTGGGAGCATCAAAAACAAGCCCAAGTCCCAGCCAGAAAGAGCAAAGAGTGCAGGTAAATCTGGTTCTGACCAGCCTGTGGTGGTCTTCTCCTTTCAGCGTGGGCCAACCCACTGGTGTGGGATAAAAAGAAGAAATGCTGAGACAGTTTCTGCTCAGCAACTCTTCTACCTGGGTGGGATTTTTGGAAGGGAGACACATTCCAGCTGATCTTCAGGTCCATCTGCTACTGTTGTCTAAATACAAGGAAGAGGCCTCACGGGAGCAAGGATTGCTCAGAGTAAACAGAGCGTGCCCGTGGTCAGCCATTTGCCTGGAACTCTCTATGCAGACCAGGCTGGCCTTTAACTCACAGAGCTCTGTCTATCGCTGCCTCGCAAGTGCTGGGATTAAAGGCATGTGGCAACAGACCCAGGTGTAGTAAGGTCCTTTTACATCAAAAATGTCATAATCCTCTCCACTGGGAGAGCACTGCCAGGTGAGAGGTTCTAGCCTCCATATACCCATCAGCAAAATAGGGGAACCCCACCCTGCTTGGCTCCCCAGATAGGAAGAGCTAACCAGTGCAGGTGGAGGTGAGCCTTGAAGAGACCGAGTATTAGCTAAATGCCAATTTTTTTTTATCATTAGGCTGGTCCTGGCAGAACCAAGAATAAGAGTAAAGTAATGCCTCGTGACTTGTTTAGTAAGATGGACACTGGGCCCTGGGGTCATCTGTATGGCATGCTGACCCTGGGTCTGACTGAGTGCTCTGTAGGAATGGCTGAATATAGCTTATCCCCACAAACATTTTCTAAATTTCCATTTCATGTAGTTCATGAAATGAAAACACAGGAATAAAAAGACATTTGCCCACAATAACAGCATGTAGTGTAGAAGAGCTGGATCTGGGACCCAGGATGTGTTTTGTAATATTTTCATCTCATATCAGCGCATCCACATCCACATCAGTCCGGTGGATGCTCTGCAATCTTGTGTGACCCTCACTGTATATATGGGCACTGTGGGACACAGTGGGACAATGGCCCAGAAGTCCACATGGCAAGATGAGGCAGGTTGAGGAGGGTTGGGGGAGTTAAGACCTAAGTATGTGGCTGTAGCTGTTCCTTATCCAGGAGCCATGTCCTCCTCCATCAGCCTCAGCAAAGCCCACTTCCCTAGAAATACTGGAGTCCCTCACGAGAAGCAGAAGATCCACATCGGGACATGCAACTGATAGTCAGGTACAGGGTGGGATGAGACCCCATGTGTGCCACCTGTCACCAAGGCCAGTGTTCCACATCCTCCCCTCTTTCCCTGGCTCATCGATTACAGGATGGGTGGCCCCGCTTCCTTAGCCCTACTATGGCTGCAAACCTAGGGCTAAATCAGAGTTTTCTGAAAAGGAACAGCGACACAGAGGAAAAAATGTGTCCTCTGAAGAATAACCCTTGACAGCGCTTCCCTCAGAACCCATCCTATCTTGGTTCTTACTGCAGAGTTCACTCAACACAATGGTTACCCACTTGAAATAGCATGTCCTTGAAAGGTCTTCTGGCTCCTTTAAGTTGGGGTGTCCTAAAGCTGACAGCAGGAAGAGATGTCTAGATGGGCTCCTGGCTTGGGAATAAAAGTGGGGACTGCAGGGCACAGTTACCCCCAGGACTGTCTAATAAAGGGAGTGTGGGGCAAGACCTTGGACAATGCCAGAGAGAACTCCAGAGAGTTCCGGAACCTTTGCCTTTCTCTCTATCACACAGATTCCCAGTGGAGACCTGTGTGAGTCTGGCCCAAGCACAGTACCTGGGAACTCCAAGAGATGAGGAGGCAGGCACATTCCTAGTGCTTGCTGCAGATACCCGCGGGTATCCGTGCTTTCTAGAGCCCTGTGGCTCGTACAGAGAGGTAATGAAAGACTCCTGTTCCAAAACGAGTCTTGGGCTACGTGACCCATACAGGCAAGGCCAAGAGTCAGCATGGAGGAAAGACACGGTCTTAAGAAGCAGCAAACTGCAGCTCTGTGCTCACCCACATCTCTGTCCCGGTGGCCTTGGCCCAGCTAGTGACATGCTCTAGTTCTGAGTCTCCATCTTCTTCATCTGCTGGGGTTTTACACCTAGATCAGGGGCTGGGCTTCCCAAGGACAAGCACAGCTTGACAATTTGATCTAGAATGTTTGTGTAACAGATTTGACCGCTTATATTTTGACACAAGTGTGAACTGCCTTGTTCTTTGTGTACAAAGTACTGAAAGTACTTCTTAGAACTGAGTTATTTTCTAAGTCAGAACCTGCCCCTACCCCCATCTCTTCCTCCATCTCATTTATAGCATTGAGATAACCAAGCCAGGGTCTGGAGACACGGCTCAGTGGTTAAGAGCACTTTTGTTCTTCAAGAGGACCCTCATTAGGCTCCTGCCGCCCATGTTGGATGGCTCACGACCACCTGCAACCCCTGCTCCAGGAAAGCTAATGCCTTCTTCCGGCCCCCATAGGCACCTGAACTCCTGTGCACATACCTCCACAAAGATATACATATAATTAAAAATCAATGGTTGGATAGGGAGGGGCTCATGAGGCCTCACCCGTTTTTTAAGATATGTTGGGAGTTGGTGGTGACAAGGAGAAAGAGAGTCACTTTTCTTCAGGGATGCAGGTCCTGAGAGACTACCCATCTCCAGTCGAGAGTCCTACACCCATCTACATGCAGTTAGCACTAAACAGACTCAGCGGGTATTAAATAAGAGAGAGAGAGCACGTGAAGCTGAAAGGGAGAGTATGCGGGGTGGGGGAAGAGTTGGAGGGGAGAGAATGGGGTCAGATTGGCTTCAAACACACTATATACATGTATAAATAAATAAAATATTTTTAAGTGTTTTATGTATTATTTTTATTTTATGTGTATGACTGTATTGCCTGCATGTGTGTAAGTGCACCTGTGTCCTACAATACCTGTGAAAGTCAGAAGAGGGGGCTGGATTCCCTGGAACTGGAGTTATAGACAGTTGTTAGCTGCCATGTGGGTGCTGGGAATCAAATCTAGGCCCTCATCAAAAACAGTGAGTGATCTTAACCACTGAG